ATATATATAATTGTTCAATTTTCAGTTCTAAAACCACAGTTATCGATGCTAACTCTAAGCATGTCAATAATATTAAGCGCCGGCCATTCAAATGACAATGTTGTTTTGGATATATAATGTGATTGTCTTTTTTTATGTTAAATGGGGAGTAAATTTCAACTGGCAGCTGCATTTTTCAAGAAACGTACTCCAGCTTTTTTGTGAAGTGACTTCAATTGAATTCACTGCCACCATACAGTGCTTGTAAAAAAAAAATATATATATAGTTCAACCAATGACAGCTGGTAAAAAGTCTTGTCAGTCTATCTCAAGGCAGCAATGTATTCCTAATCTTTTACGGCAGTTGCGAAGGTGAAAATGTCTTGGAAAAACATCGCCCTTGCAGTTAAAAGCATTTCATGAGAATTCCCTTGACATCATTTCCTGTGGGAAGCAAACGTTTTTGAAATGGGACCAACTTGAAAGTCAACCTGCAGCGTGACCGTCTGGCCCGTTGGCGAGTCGAGATGAGAGGAGCGTTCAAAGGCTTGTCGGCCGCTCGAACCTCACGTCGGCCCCGGTTGATGTCAGAGCTGCCGACGCACGTTCGCATCCGCGCCGATCAAAACGAGCGGGGTGAGGATTTTTGTTTTATTCAAGCAAATCATTCAAGCGCCATGCACGCGCTCACGTCACGCATCTCATCTCCGAGCTGTCCAATATCCGCCAATCTTATCTCCATTTTGCTTATTATCATGATTTCAGCTTTAGCTCCTTTCTCATAAAGTCACAAATGATTGCTCTTTTCTTTTTAATCTCTTGGTTTCTTTACAGGCCTGATGTGAGTGCGCCGTGCAACACGGTGGCAATAAGCATGCCGGCAGGAGCAGGCGGGCGGGCTCCCTGTCTCAACTCATGAATTATTCACGGGGCACTATTGCGCAGCCGAAGCTAAATTTAGGAAGCTCCGCATTTTGTCTATAATTAGAAGGCAGATGGAAAGCGTTCGTTTATTTCTATTAGGAGGAGAAGGGGGGCAGGTGACGCTTGCATGAGACGTGACCTCTGGCGTCTGTCTTCAAGGTCAGAAGAGGGCGACTCCATCAAGAGCGCCTGGGAGGGAAATTAAACGCCAAATCAATCGGCCGCCTGAGCGCATGCGCGTCAAGTCGACTGCCAAAATATCTCGCGCGCACGTTAGCATCTGTGTGAATGCTTGTGTGTTTTTGTGGAGGGGGGGATGAAAGCAGGTGTGCGCGTAATCAGTCAGTCAACCAGCAGCAGGTTGAATGGGAGGAGAATCAATGCCTCCTCCTCCTTTTCTTCCTCCTCTCTTTTCATTCACAGTCAGTCACATGAGCGTGTCGTCTTCACGCTGGAGCTGCCTCAGTCGGTCGCCATCAAAACATCCGTCCGTCATATCGAGCGGCGTTATATAAAGTGCGGCCCGGCATGTTTTTTTTGGTTGTTTTTCTTTTTTTGATCAGCCCAGAGTGAAGCCCTGAGCACATTTCTGCGGGAACGTATTGTTTGTTATTCGTTGCTTTGGGCTCAGTGGCAAAGCAATCAAAGTAGAACGTTGGCACCACCTGGTGGGGCGGTGTCAACATTTGTGACATCCTCTTGTTTTGTTGCAGGTCCCTGAATGCACCTCAGTCAAAAGTGAAACTGTAAGTGAAGGTACCGTACGGTGCAGCAGCACATGTAGACAGACAGTACAGGCATATATTCTTTATCCCTTGTAACACATGCTGGTAATAGCAAAATGAATTCTGAAGTCTACCAAACCATTTTGTCTGACAGAAAAATGCATTCAAACTAATCGGGGGAAGCTTCTTGCAACAAGACATTGACCCAAAACAGCGAAGCCCTTCAGCAAGAGGTGAGGTAGAAGGTCATAGACTAGCCAAGTCAATCACACGATCTTAACTCAATCGAGCATACATTTCACCTCCTGAAGAGGAGACTGAAAGGAGAAACCCCCCAGACACAAGCAAGAACTGGAGGAGTCTTCAGTAAATAACAACAACAAAGGAAGTGAGTGACCTTGCGTTGCCCCTCGTACACAAAACGTACACACCAGAAGGAGCAGACAATGAATGTGAGACATTAATTGTGAGACATGCAAATTCTTTTCCATCTGTTGAATGATGTCATTGCATTCATGTTTGCAGGTAAATGACACGAGTTGGGCGCACTGACTTAAATCCGTTTGTGTAATGTGCACGTGTGATGATGTCACATCAGTTACTGCTTGCATGTGTTTATAGCTCATATGCCATGAGCCTTATCGTGGTTTGTTTGGGGTGACTAATTGAACGAAAGGGTGGCCCGGTGGTCGACTGGTTAGCATGTCGACCTCACAGTTCAGTGGTACCGGGTTCAATTCCAGCTCGAGCCTCCTGTGTGGAGTTTGCATGTTCTCCTCGGGCCTGCGTGGGTTTTCCCCGGGTATTCCGGTTTCCTCCCACATTCCAAAAACATGCATGGCAGGCTGATTGAACACTCCAAATTGTCCCGCGGTGTGAGTGTGAGCGCGGACGGTTGTTCGTCTCTGTGTGCCCTGCGATTCGCTGGCAACCGGTTCAGGGTGTTCCCCGCCTACTGCCCAAAGACAGCTGGGATAGGCTCCAGCAACGCCCGCAACCCTTGTGAGGATAAAGCGGATCGGAAAATGGATGGATGGATGGATAATTGAACGAAGGCATTTATGCAACGTGGGTTCATGATTGGATGCATAGTGCTGCTTCTTTCTGGCCTGCTTGAGGTGCTTTACCTCCATCTTGTGGCATCTCTATGCAACTGCAAAGCCCTTTGGAGGGGTGTTATTCTCGGATTTTCGTGGATTTTTTTTTTAAATAGCATTTTATATATCATGTCATCCTTTGTTTTGCTTTTTGCGGCATTTTGAGAAAAAAGTATGGAGACTCCTGAACTAGACACTCCACCCACAGTCTTTCTCTTGTGCCTAAAATGCACATACACACACACACACACACACACACACACACACGCGCGCGCGCACACACACACTGTCAGCCCCTCCAGTCCTTATTGACTTATTTATTTAAACAGCATAAATGAGTAAACGTGTTTGAAAGCACACACACGAGACGTCAGACACGCAATGGCGGCCAATCCGCAAGTAAACAAAAAGCCACACGATTCCCGCATCAACGCAAGCTTTCAAATAACAGCAGGCCTGCATTGGCCTAGCATTTCAAGTGCTCGCACCCTCTACCTTGCCGACCTCTGACAGCTCCACCAGTCCAACTGGATTGAGTTTTTTTTTTTTATTAATACCTTGAAAGGCCACTTTAGGTGTTGCACTTAGCCCAGTGCTGCTTTGCATCACATTTGCTTGTCTCTTTTTTTTTTTTTTTTTAAATTGCATGCACTCCAGCTTTCTTCCACATCACTAACCTATGCTTCTTCAGTTAATTGCCCATACAGTGGATAGAAAAAGTCTACACGGCTCTCTTCAGATGCTAGGCTTTTGTGATATATATAAAAAAAAAAATGAACCTAAGATTTCAAACCGTTTTCCCCACCATTAATGTTGTGACCTATAACCTGTGCAATGCAAGGGATTAAAAAAAAAACATCTCAATCAGCAACTGAGAGAATGTGGTTGCATAAGTGTGCACACCCGCTTATAACGAGGTCATGGCTGGGTTCAAACAAATCCCATTCAGATTCATGTTAAGTGCTTTGGCTTCACCCTGAATAAAGTTCAGCTGTTCTACTAATCTACGGCACATCTTTTTTTTTTTACAGGTATATACTTTTGCCACTTATACCACCGTTCTTATCTTCTGTTGGCCTTTTGCACACCCGCCATGGCTGCAAAACATTTTTTACCTGGAGTGATCCACCCCCCGCCCCCCCCACACACACACATACTTCAGCTACACCCCTTTAGCCCCCACTCCCCACCAAACCCAACCCACTCCCACACTACGCCACTGAAAGGATGCAGAGGTAACCGATCCAAAAGGTGAACAATAAAAATAGCAGGTTGAACTTTTCCTCTTGAACACACCCACAAAGCAGGCATGCGATGCTATATCTGACTTGCAAGTGGAACTTGTTGTTTCCAACTGGAATTCACACACATGCGCAGCCTTGAAAAACACACGCACACTGAACGTGACATGTTGAAAGCTCCGCGTAGACTTGAATGCGCAACCTTCAAATTACCGACGCCAATGTCCACATGCAGGCTTCATCGCTCATTCAAGCTTGGGTGAGAGTGATGAAGAAAAGTGTGATGGGGGGGGGGGGGCTTTGGCGTGCAGGTGGTCTTGCTCTCTTTCTCACTCCAAATATATCAAGATGAAATCTGGATTAGTGATTTAGTTTTGTTATTCCAAAGCGGCAGGTAACTTGGGCCGAGTCTTCGGAATCTTTGTTGTCACCAGGATGGTGTTGCGTCATAGTAGGACAGTTGACTTTTGTAACGCTGCACGGGATTCATTTACGCTTTTGAAGGTTGGTCGTTACAGAGGTTGAGGAAAAAATGGCTGATGAAGTTGATTTCAAATCAAAATGATTGGTCAGATCACTCTCTCCCTCACCCCCACTCTCTTGCTCCCCTCTCTCACCTCTCACACACGCACACACACAAACACACGCGCACGTTTGTGCATGGCGACTGTCCGAAAGGCTCCCCGCCCTCCCCCTCGCCGCTTCCTCCTCCCTGAACACCTACATTGCCCCCCCCTCCCTCCCTTCCCCATATCTCGCCCTCCGCAACCTCCCTCCACTCTCACCCCCATACCTCCTCCGAGCTAATTCCATTATACATTCCCAACTGGAAGGAAGAGAAGCTGTCTTCTAATTGCTTTCTTATCCCCCTGAGTCCCCGTCACTCTCTCCTACCGCCACACGTTGTTTCCCCAACTCCCCCCTCTGTTTGCCCCACCCCCTTGCCCTGCGTGCAAGAGTGAGAGAGAGAGAGAGAGAGAGAGAGAGAGGGAGCAGAGGGGGTGCCAGGGGGAGAGAGGGGGGAGTGGGAGACAGGGTGCATGGGAAGGGAGAGAAAGAACATGAGAGGAAGAGAGAGAGACTGAGGGGTGGGGGGAGAGGGGGGAATGATAGAAAGAGACAGAGCAAAGGGGAAAGAGTTGGGAGAGAGAGAGAGAGGCTGAGAGAGAGGGGGAGAGCGAAGGGACGGCGAGAAAAGGGGGAGAGAGAGAGACTGGGAGGGAGGGAGAGAGAGCGCGCGCGGCTGGCGAGTGAAGCTGCCTTGGCGAGTGAGCGCCGCCGTTGCCATTTGCAGCCTCGTCAGTGGAAGGCGAAGGGGAGCCTCCGCCGCTTGACGCTCGGCTCAGCTCATCGCAGCTTCGCCAGAGGACGAGCGGACACGGAAGCAAGCACCGGCGAGAACGGCTCACCGCTAACAGGTATTAGACACACACGCGCGCCCGCCGTCCCCTCGTCGTCGTCGTCGTCGTCAGGTTTCCTCCAGCGCGCGCCGCACAGGTGGAAGGAATCTCTTACGTGTGCGCGTCACGGCCGCCTTGACTCCTTCTTTCAACTTTTGCCTTTGAGCTGCATGCTGACCCCCCCCCCCCCGGGGCCAAAATAGGACATTATCAGGGCGCGCTGTTGACTTTGCCTCTTGCATGAGGACACGCGCACATAAATGCAAACACGCTCATCTGACCGCAAGGAAGAGGAATCTGTTTGAGTGAACGCAGCTCTGGAAGAGCATCTTTTTTTTTTTTTTTGTCAGTCAACTGCGTTTTTTTTAGGAGTTTTGTACCCACGCTGGTCCTACATTACGCGTGCGCGCGCGCGTGCGCGCGTGGCTTCAGCCGTGCCATTAAAGTGAAGACTGCAGTGTCACCGCTGACTTGAACGGATGCTTACCGTCATCCTCGCTCACCCCGAGGACATCGAGGGAGGGAGTTGTGCGTGCGCGTGCGCGCGCGCGCGCGCGTTAGAAACGGGGACGTGTTCACCGTGCGCGCTTAGGGGTTTTGATGTGTCAGGACACGTTGCAAGAGCGAGTTGCGCGCGCGCGCGCGTGTTTCGAGATGGTGACATTGGGAGCAAAAGGGGGTGCGACTTGATTGAGTGTGTGATTGGAGCTGAGGGAGAACAGGTGAAGGGGAGAAGAATGTATGAATGGGAGATGAGACGCGCGCGCACTGCAATGACAAACGACACGCGTGCGCGTGTGCATGTGAACGCGTGGGCCTATTATGCCGTAAATGATCCCCACCGCACTTGTGCTGCCGATGTTTTTTGACGCTGGCGGATTTAGTGCTGACTCAACTCTTCCTTTCTCTTTTGTGCGCGTGTGTGTGTGAAGATTCTCTCAGAAGTTTTTTTTCACTTGGTCCCCCTTGTGTGGAAAAGTGGTTTCCCCGCATGATGCAACACAATGAAAGGAGGCTGATTAACATGGAAATGCTTGAAGGAGGCCAGCAGGTTGAAGTGAGCGCTGCGCTTTTTCACCACTTGATGATTTCACTCACATCTTTGCAATTTCGTGCGCTGCGGGGGGAGGGGCGGCAAAAAAAAATGCTGTGAAGTTTTCAGCACATTAGACAGGTTTTTCCCAGGTGTGTGCGTGTGCGTGTGTCCGTGTGCGCGTGTAATGATCAGTAAAGGGCACCTGAAATTGGCATTTGCTGGCTGCGCTTCCCTTGTTTAACTTTCCTCACCTTTCCGTCGCAGGAAGGAGAGGGGCCGAATAATTACCGAAGGGCCGCCGTCATCCATCTTGTTTTTTCGGTTGCCACGTGATTGATCTCAATTTGGGATCAACTTGCCTTTTTTTTTTTAAGCGATCACCCCGAGTTTGTAGAAGTCAGAGTATGGCAATGAAAATGGAACATACTATATTATATGCAAAATGGACACATACCACCCAAAAATACAAGACTGAAAGTAAGAAATCATCATACTTTGTTTTAAAACAATTTACAAAATCCTTTGCTGGTGTTTTGTTAGGGTGAGGAGGGAGAGTGAGGAGGGGTTGAGACAGGGTGGGGGTGCAGGGAAGCGTTGACAGAAAGTGATGAAGGAAGGATGGAAGGGGAAGCTCATCTGTATGCGGCTTCCAGCGTGCGGCTTGTTTGATTGGTGGCGCTTCTTAGCGCTGGCTGGCAGGATGCCACAAAGTGGCCCAGGCGAAATTAATATCGTCCATGTAATTCCAGCGCCTTCCAGGTAGTCGTCATTTTGTGGGGATAACGTCAAGTCCACGTAATCGTTTCATTTTGAACTGGAGTGGGCTGCCTTTCGTTTTTTTTTTTTAACCCCCCCTCTCACTCTTTTGCTTATCCTTCCTTGAAAAGCTTGCAGGGGATTACAGCAAGGCCGCTTTGGAACGGTGCTGCTAATAGACCGAAAAAAAAACAACAACAACACAAAAGTGGCATCCAGCGGTGTTTAGGACCATCACGGCTTAATGAAGAGTTTCTCATCAAACGTGTCTCATTAGGGCGTAATGAACAAGATGATGCTGAGGAATGTACCTTCACGACACAGAACGAGCTTTGTTTGCACTGAGTTCGACGAGCATTGTGCTACGAGTCTGTTTTCAACCACGGCTTCTTTTGAAGGCCTTAACTGTTTGCAATTCATGTCAAAATATGACTGCAGGCCTTGGCAAACATACTGCAGAATGTGATGATTTTTATTTTTTAACCCATGGAGGATTGGAATATTGGTGGGTGGGCTTGCTCGAATGGCGTCCCTGCCACCGCACATATCGAACATCCCAGATGTTTTTCCAAAGAGTACGGGAATATAACGTGCTAGTTTCTGCATTAAAAAACACATTACAAACATTGTCGGTGTATTTTGCCGGAGGGCTGGAACGGATAAACGGCATTTACATTCAGTTCAATGGGGAATGATGCTTTGATATTCAAGACTTGATCATACGTTTTTTTTTTTTGGTTTTTTTTTAAATATCATCAACTGTATTACAGTGAGTGGTTGTTCCAGAGTTCAGATATGGACTCAAATTTTAAATGTGCCTTTATTTTATTGTGTAATTGATGCCTCAGCATGATTTTGAAGGGGTTCCTTATTTGTTATGTCCATCATTTTACACACTTCAAAATGTAATTTTACACCTTTTAATGTTCCTTCTCATGATATTAATTTAATTACATTTTTTAATGATTAAATTGCATTTATTACCCCAAGTTTTGACTTGACATTAACTTAACATGTTGAACTTACACAATGCGGAAAAGCGCTTGGCAAGAAAAGTCCATGTTTACTGTTTGGGCGAGTGAAGATGAAACCAAGAAAGAGAATTAGAGCTGTGAAAAACTAGAAGTGGCATTTCATAAAATTCAACGTGGTAGTGTGCATGCCTGTGCATGTGCATCGTCTTTCCACCGCCTTCTAATCAGGGCACAATTGCAGCACTTGAAAAGGAGAGAAAAAAAAAAAAGCGAAGGTTTTATGCCCACCAACTTACTCGCCGGCCGCCTGTGTCTTGCAACACCTGCTGAAGTTACGCAACACACCGGGTCACATGAGGAGATCACAAGAAGAAGCCGACAGAACTAGAGAACACGCCGCCGACGACGACAATAAATAGCCTGTGTGACAAGCCAAGCCTTGCTGTGCTTACGTCATACAAACGCATGTCCCATAAAACAGCGCCTCAAGAAATATTCTCACGACTAAGTAGATTTCTTGCCGTAACCCTTGACACTTGACTTTCCCATCCTTCTTGGGGAGAGAAAAGCTTCAAATGTTGTACTGTGGCGATCAAAAACCAGTCCACTGGGTCACTTGAATGCAAAGTGACCTTGAGAGAAAGTAGCAGACCCCTCCCCCCTCCAATTCCCCGAGTTGTGCCAAACGTCGCGCTTCCTTTTGAAGCACATTAGCGCCATCCCATATTCAGCGGTGCTGTTGCTAGGCTGCACGCTTGCAGTCCACGCGTGCAACCGCCCGCCCGCCCGTGTGGAAGCGTGCGCGCGTTTTGCTTGACTGCCTCCGCGCAATGGACGCAAAGTAAGCTCGCCGCCTGCGAATTAGCTTCCATAGCAACCGTGCCGCACAGCCAGCCAGCCAAGGCAAGTGAGTGAAGGGCTGCGCTTCTTGTGGGATGTGAAAGTGGGCGCAGGCCAGATGCCAACTTCTGCCACTGTGGGCACGCCGAGGAACTGACGGGCTTGAACAGAAGTGCAGCGTTCGGGTAACGAGGATGGTTGGGAACAATTGTCCTCTGTTCTGTGGATGCCAGACAAGGTCAAAAAGCGGAATTTAGCCAGTTAAGTGAGACGTTTGAAAAGAAAAATCAGGCATATGTAGGTAACATAGCAGAACAACGACAGGACTAACAGATAACGCTGTGGTTCTCAATTTTTTAGCACCAGCTAAAAAAAAAAAAGAACTACTTAAACAAGTACCAGCAACATAACCAACATAACTTTAACAAAATCAACTCATTCTGAATTTTTAAGATAGGATAAGAAAACCTTTATTTGTCCCACACTGGGGAATTGCATTTTTATTTTATTTTATTTTATTTGTATAATTATATTTATTTTATTTCTTATAAATGGTAACGTTATTTAGCTACTATGTTTCTCTTGCATAACCCAAATCAACTACAACACTTCAAAATGTAATTTTACACCTTTTAATGTTCCTTCTCATGATATTAATTTAATTACATTTTTTAATGATTAAATTGCATTTATTACCCCAAGTTTTGACTTGACATTAACTTAACATGTTGAACTTACACAATGCGGAAAAGCGCTTGGCAAGAAAAGTCCATGTTTACTGTTTGGGCGAGTGAAGATGAAACCAAGAAAGAGAATTAGAGCTGTGAAAAACTAGAAGTGGCATTTCATAAAATTCAACGTGGTAGTGTGCATGCCTGTGCATGTGCATCGTCTTTCCACCGCCTTCTAATCAGGGCACAATTGCAGCACTTGAAAAGGAGAGAAAAAAAAAAAAGCGAAGGTTTTATGCCCACCAACTTACTCGCCGGCCGCCTGTGTCTTGCAACACCTGCTGAAGTTACGCAACACACCGGGTCACATGAGGAGATCACAAGAAGAAGCCGACAGAACTAGAGAACACGCCGCCGACGACGACAATAAATAGCCTGTGTGACAAGCCAAGCCTTGCTGTGCTTACGTCATACAAACGCATGTCCCATAAAACAGCGCCTCAAGAAATATTCTCACGACTAAGTAGATTTCTTGCCGTAACCCTTGACACTTGACTTTCCCATCCTTCTTGGGGAGAGAAAAGCTTCAAATGTTGTACTGTGGCGATCAAAAACCAGTCCACTGGGTCACTTGAATGCAAAGTGACCTTGAGAGAAAGTAGCAGACCCCTCCCCCCTCCAATTCCCCGAGTTGTGCCAAACGTCGCGCTTCCTTTTGAAGCACATTAGCGCCATCCCATA